CCCCACAGGATTACCTCCCCCTCGTCTTGGCAGCAGCAACAGATGCCCCCACACAGAAACACAAGCTACCCGGTTGGGTATCCCAATGCTAGCTCAACATATCGGGGTACCCCCCCACCCTTGTCTCAGGGCTACCACCCGGGTCAAGGCCAGGGACACCTGGGGTACCCTCAGTACTCAATGGGGTACCAGTCTTCATCGGCCCCCCCTGAAGAGCCCCAGGTGAGTCAAGCGTCGATGGAGCAGCGTCAGCCCAACAACGGGGACCCAATGCCCGGGCACGGGCACGCTCGTGTCCCTGGTCCTCTGGAGAGTCCCGGTGCTGCTAACATGGCTAATGCTAACAACAGAGCAGTGGTGGTTCCTGGTTTTGGTACGTTGACAGATTTTATCATTCGAGTCCTAATTAAAGTGTTGAAATAAATACTCACAATAAATCAACCTAAGTGTTTTTATGTTTGCTGTAAATTATAAACTGATTGCACAAAGGATTTCTGGGTAATGAAGGCTTTACATTTCAAGCTGTTACCTTTTTGTTGCCACCAGGTGGAACCAGCATGTCTTTCCCATCAGCCCTCAAGAAGGAGCAGGGAGACGGTATGACCAGAGCAGTGCTGCTGGTGGACCCGCCATTCAACAACACGCCCATAGTGCGTATAACACACACAGTTTAATGGTGTATTCATCACTGTAGTGATAGTCGTAATAACATGTGTTTTAATAGAAATACTAGTAGTAAAACCCTTGTGGTATATATATATTAATACATTAATAAATGTCTCCTTTCAGATCAAACTGGTTTCAAAACCTGACGTCAAAGACGTCTCCATGAATCCCAGAAGCTCTCCATCACCGTATGACGTCATCTCCAAGACGACCGTCTCCGCCGACAACAACCGCTCTCGCGGTTACCGTGGCTACCGGAGACTACCACCTCATCATCATCATCATCCCACCAACGCGTACGTCCAGCTGGGACCCCTGGAGCCCAACCAGGTGGGTTACCTGGAGGCCCCGTCTGTGGGCTGCAGCACGGAGGACGACTGGGACGAGGCGGCGGGATTCAAACCAACCACCTTGAACCACAGGGGGTCCAGGAAGACCCCCCGCGGAGGGAGAGGAAGGGGAGGCTACAATCCAGTGAGGGGGGGCGCCAGGAGGAGGCACGGAGGAGACGACTTAAACTACATCCAGTTTAGCCCCTCCCACAGGGGGAGGGGCCGGGAGAGAGGCTACTAGCTCTCTCAGCCAATGAGAGGAGAGGACACTGGAAGGTGATGTTTTTATTTTCTCTCTGCTGAGAGTTAGGTGATAACATTTATATCGCTCTCATGCCTGGATGCTCTACATGACGCTGCAGCTATTAGCCAATTAGCTTAGCTTAGCAGTCCTTATGCTAAGCTAAGTTAACCATCTTCTAGCTACAGCGTTACAAACACTGTACCAACATGAATGGAATCCATCTTCTCATCTTACAATATTTTCCAATAAAAGTAGAACAATTTCTTTAATCGGACGTGAAATTTCAGATTCTCTAGCGTCCCTCGAGCGCTTCGCATGTCGGTAAATCTTTAGACATTTAAACGTATTTCAGCAAAAATACACTCCGAGCTCTTCTGTTTGCACTGCGAGGACAGAACTGAGGTCTATGATTGTAAAATCTTAATTTGAGAAGGGCTTTATGAGACGATAGAAGCCGTGTGGACTTTATATCTTCAGCGTTTGTTTTTTTAATGGTCTGTCTCGTTGCTGCTGGTTTCCTTTTTATGCATTTGTCTCGTTTTTTTCTTCATCGGGTTTATTTTTCGTTCTCCTGTCACGTTTAATCAACTCTAGAGATTCAGTGCCTTATGTTTGCAACCTTTTACCGTTATTTGTTTTTTTGGGAAACACTGCTGTACAGAACTGAAGACTGTTTGTGTTGAATTTTTCTATGCGATTGATTAAATAAAACTTTGGTTCAGATAGTCTCTTTGTGTTATTTTTATCGCGTTTGTACTGAGAGGAGACGTTTCAGTCCAGAACTTTTTCAAGGAACTGCTATACTGTGACTTTTTACAAAAACTAGTTTGTTGTATTTATGAAAATATAGAACAAGTATAAAGACGATTCTTGACATTTTATTGCAGTTTTACCTGTTATAACAATAGCAAGCTCTCATGAAGAGGAGAGTTTGCTGCAGCAGCTGAGAATTCGCTCTTTGTCGCTCATCTCCAGCGTGACACTGTTCAGCACATGCTGTGTGCTTGTTGTGGAAGCATACAGTAAGCCAGCATCGTTGGCAGTGAAAGCAAATGAAGACGTCCACGCAGAGGAACTATTTTCCTCTGTGACTTTTCTTTTTTTGGATATATTCATTGATAGTTTAGAGGGTGGGGGTCTGAAAATCATGATCAGCCACCTGCAGGGAAAAGCTCTTTACAGAGGTAGAGGATTTAACTGCCTGTGGGAATAATTAACATAAGATTCTGTTCATTCTTGCTTATAAATTATATTCTCTCTGAGCACGTTTCTCTTTTTGGAGAGCGTCATGTGAGATAACTTCTTCGATTAGCGCAATGTTCCTGCTCTTCTTTCTATTTCCTCGTCTCAGCCCCGTGTGTCACGGTGTGTAAACCTCGCTCGAGTCGGGAAACTTGTCAGAATACTCGTTTGATTGGCTGAGCTGCGTCATGTGATGTGATTTGCAACGCATTGGTCGGTGCGTTTCCTGCACCGCCTAACAAGTGCCGTAACGGCTGAATAAGAGGCGCCGGTTAAAGTTCAAACTCGGTGCCTAATATGTATAATTCTGAATTATCTATCGGATTTAGGGCCTGGATCCGATGCACCAGTTGGGGACCCCTGATGTAGACTCAGGGAGCCGCAACAGAGAGGCTGAAGAGCCGCAGGTTGCCGACCCCTGTGCTATACTATGACCGTTTTTGACTTTTTTCGACATGTTATATAATATCGTAACTTTGTTATGACTTGCCACAATAAGGCTCTAATGCCGAGACAAAAATGGAAGACCAAATAAGTTTATAGATATGATACCAGAGAGGAATAGAGCTGAAACAAGTG